CCCAGCCCCAGCTGAGGCCAAGTCAGGAAAGAGCGACAGAGGCACCTGAAAGCACAAGAAACAGAAACCCGTAAGATCTGACCTCAGCTCCATCCAGAGAATTCAAGCGGTCCGTCCCCTGAGGGGGCCGATCCCTGCCCACCTGTCCTTCCTCCAGTATACGGAGTCATGTGTGGAGGGGAGGAGGCAGGACTCTCAAAACCGAGGGGTTTGGGGTTGGGTTTGTCTGTGTCTGCATCTTGTCCTGTGTCTAAGGCGCTGTGGCTGTGCCCTCCTGCCCTGGGACATCTGTATCTTCTGCTTTATAATAAATGCTGCATACTTTCCAGAGTCTGTAATTCTTTGGGGCAGAGGGGACAGGGAGAGGGTGGGTGGGTCCCTTGGCCTCTTCCTCATGTCTCTTGTCTTGGCTCAGCCTGCCTTGGGGGACCCCAACTGCAATGAACCGGAACTTGCCGCTCCCTGTGGCCAGTCAGGTGTTCCCAGCCCAGGTTAATTTGCAGAGATGGGGGATGGGTTGTGTCCCTCACACAAGTGACCACAAGGACACCACTGGAGGGACGTGGGCATATTTATTTAATGCCATCTTCACCAACAGGCACTGTAGCGGGGGCCTGTTCCCAGCTGCCCCAGATGGGAGATCTCAGGTTATGGAAGTCTTTCACGAGCCAGCTATGGGTACTGGGTTCGCTGGGTGATCCCTTCTTGGGCTGGGTGGCAGCCACCCTCTCAGAGCGGGGAGCCCACTTCTGCCTTCTGCACCCGCTCACTCTTGTGGGTGCCATCACAGAATGGGGGCTTCTGGGTAGCCTTACAGGTACAGAGCACTACCATGCGGGTCTCCTGGGCTTTGAACTTGAGTGGGGATAGGCCGGTGCGTTGGAAGAAGTGGGAGCCATCACAGAAGGGCTGTGAGGGAAAGAGACATTAGAGACCCTACCCCACCTAGGTCAGGTCTGAGAGGGGCAGCGCACAGTGGTCAGGGCCCAGGCTCCTGGGTGAGGCTGCCTGGGTTCACTGATGAACCTTTCTTGTCTGTAATGCATTAGTAGTAAGAGTAGAGTTATCCCAGCAAAATAAATGGTTATCATGCACTTTGCCTGACATACGTGTTCAGTAAGTCTGAGTCTTTACAGGAGTAGTTTCTGGGGGACCCAGAGGACCAGGACACAAGAACAGAATTTTCAAGGTGAAATGGGACTTTAGGTATCTGCAATATTTACAATGATAGGTTTTTGGGGTTTTTTTTAACGGCTCTGAGTCTCCATTGGTTCATGAAATTTATTTCCTTCTGCATGTTCTTGGGATAAAAACTGATTGGGCTTTAAGACTGGGGTATCACTCCTGGGCATATATCTAGAGGAAACTGTAATTTGAAAAGATTCACGCACCCCAATGTTCATAGCAGCACTCTTATTTACAATAGCCAAGACATGGAAGCAACCTAAGACTCCATTGACAGAGGACTGGATAAAGAAGCTGTGGTAAATATACACAATGGAATACTACTCGGCCATAAAAAAGAATGAAATGCCATTTGCTGCAAGATGGATGGATCTGGAGATAGTCATACTAAGTGAAGTAAGCCAGAAAGAAAAATACCATGATATCACTTATACATGGAATCTTAAAAAAAGGACACAAATGAACTTATTTACCAACCAGAGACAGACACAGACATAGAAAATAAACTTACGGATACCAAGGGAGAAAGGGGAAGGTGGAAGGATAAAATGGGAATTTGGGATTTGCAGATACAAACTACTATATATAAAATATATATATATATATATATATAGATAGATAGATAGATAGATAGATAGATAGACAGACAGATAGATAGTATGTATATCTGAATTGCCTTGC